GACTTTCTAACCCTAGAACTCAACGACTTAGAAAGAGAACAACAAGAAAAGCCCAGAGTAAGTACAAGGAAGGAAGTAAAGATCAGACCAGAAATAAATAACATAGAGACTAAGAAAACAATATAAAAGATCAATGAAACCAAGAGCTGGTTCTTTGAAAAGATAAACAAGATTGATAAACCTTTAGTCAGACTCATCAGGAAACAAAGAGAGGACCCAAATAAACAAAATCAGGAATGAAAGAGGTGAAATAACAATGGACCCAACAGAAATACAAAGGATTGTAATAAAATACTATGAAAAACTATATGCCACCAAGCTGGACAACTTGGGATGAATTAGACAAATTCCTAGAAAACTATAACCTTCGAAAACTCAATCAGGAAGCGTCAGAAAACCTGAAGAGACCGATAACTACTGATGAATTTGAAGCAGTAATCAAAGGGCTCCCAGCACACAAAATCCCTGGCCTGGATGGCTTCACAAGGGAGTTTTACCAAACATTGAAAGAAGAATTAACACCTATCCTCCTCAAACTATTTCAAAAAATCCAAGAGGAAAGAACNAACACTTCCAAACTCTTTTTATGAGGCCAGCATTAGCCTAATTCCAAAACCAGGTAAAGACACTACAAAGAAAGAGAATTACAGGCTAATATCCCTGATGAATGTAGATGCTAAAATCCTCAACAAAATATTAACAAATCAGATCCAGCAATATATTAAAAAGATCATACACCATGACCAAGTGGGATTTATGTCAGGGATGGAAGGCTCGTATAATATTCACAGATCAATAAAAGTCATACATCACATAAACAGATTGAAAGACAAAAATCACATGGTCATATCAATAGATGCAGAAAAAGCATTAGAGAAAATCGAATACTCATTTTTGATAAAAAATCTCAGCAAGGTGGGAATAGAGGGATCACACCTCAACATAATAAAGCCATATATGACAAACCTACAGCCAACATCATAATCGATGGGCAAAAACTAAAACCATTTCCTCGAAGAACAGGAACAAAACAGGTGTGTCCACTTTCAGCACTCTTATTCAACATAGTACTGGAAGTCCTAGCCATAGCAAATCATCATAAAAAGCATCCAAATTGGAAAGGAAGATGCAAAACTGTCATTATTTGCAGATGACATGATATTGTACATAGAAAATCCTGAATAGTCTCCACCAAAAAGCTACTAGATTTAATAAATAAATTTAACAGTGTAATAGGATACAAAATTGACACCCAGAAATCAATAGTATTTTTATACACCAATAATGAACTCTCAGAAAGAGAAACTAAAAAAAGAATCCCATTTACCCTTGCAACTAAAACAGTAAGATACCTAGAAATAAACTTAACCAAAGATATAAAAGACCTGCACTTGGAAAACTACAAGACACTGAAAAAAGAAATAGAGGAAGATATAAACAAATGGAAAAATACACCATGTTCATGGATTAGAAGAATTAACATCTTTAAAATTTCCATACTACTTAAAGCAATCTCTAGAATCAGTGCAGTTCCTATTAAAATACCAACAGCATTTTTCACAGATCTAGAACCAATACTCCAAAAACTTATATGGAACCATAAAAGACCTCAAATAACCATGGCAATCTTGAGAAAGAAGAACAAAGTTAGAGGGATGACATTACCAGATATCAAGTTATACTACAAAGCCACTATAATCAAAACAGCCTGGTACTGGCACAAGAACAGACATACAGATCAGTGGAACAGAACAGAGAACCCAGAAATTAACCCAAGCCATTATGGTCAATTAATATTTGACAAAGGAGGCAAGAACATACAATGGAGTAAAGACAGTCTTTTCAATAAATGGTGCTGGGAAAATTGGACAGATACATGCAAATAATGAAACTATTCCACCAACCTACACCATATACAAAAGTAAATTCAAAATGCGTTAAAGACTTAAATGTAAGACATGAAACCATAAAAATCCTAGAGGAAAACATTGGAAGCAAAATCTTAGACATCTCTTGTAGCAATACGTTTCCTGATACATCTCCTAGGGCAAAGGAAACAGAGAAAATAAAGAAATGGGAGTACATCAAAATAAAAAGCTTCTGCACAGCAAAGAAACCATCAATGAAATGAAAAGGGAGCCCACTGTATTGGAGAACATATTTTCCAATGACACATCTGATAAAGGGTTAATATCCAAAATATATAAGGAACTCATACAACTTAACAAAAGGAAGACAAACAATCCAATTAAAAAATGGGCAAAGGACCCAAATAGACACTTCTCCAAAGAGGACATACAGATGGCTAAGAGACCTATGAAAAAATGCTCAACGTCGCTAATCATCAGAGAGATGCAAATTAAAACCACAATGAGGTATCACTTCACGTCGGTCAAAATGGGTACCATCAGCAAGTCAACAAACTACAAGTGCTGGCGAGGGTGTGGAGAAGAGGGCACCCTAGTACATTGCTGGTGGGAATGCAGACCGGTGCAGCCACTATGCAAAGCAGTTTGGAGTTTCGTCAAAAGATTAAAAATTGACCCAGTGATCCCTCTTCTAGGAATATGTTCTAAGAAACCCGAAACTCTAATCACAAAGAACTTATGCACCCCTTTGTTCATAGCAGCGCAATTTACAATACCTAAGATCTGGAAACAGCCCAAGTGCCCATTCATAGATGAGTGGATAAAAAAGTTGTGGCACATTTACGCCGTGGAATGCTATGCAGCTGTAAAAAAAAAAAAAAAAGGATCTTTTATCCTTTGGGACAGCATGGAGGGAACTAGAAAGTATTATGCTAAATGAAATAAGCCAGTCAGAGAAAGACTAGTACCATGTGATCTCACTTACATGTGGAATATAATACACAAAATAAACTGATTAACAAAATGGTTCCAGAGACATAGAAGCATGGAACAGACTGAAGGATCTCAGAAGGAAGGTGGGGAGGAGAAAGTGGGCTGGGAGATATTAATCAAAGAGCTTATATGTTTATAAGCATAACCCATGGACACAGTTGCTGGTGTGGTAAAGGCCTGGTAGTAGAGTGGATGTAGGGTGTAGGGGATCAATGGACGTAAAAAGGGGACATCTGTAATATTTTCAACAATAAAGATAAACTTAAAAAAAAAAAAAAAAAAGAAAACAAAAATAAAACAAAAAATAATTGCTTATGTGTTTTACACAATTGTTTTGATAGTAAGCTATAAAAATGCAACAAAAATTTATCAATTATATTCTATACCTTCTTTTTCAAGTCATAAAATTATGAATAAACCCTATTTGTGTTACTATGAAGTAAAAAAAAAAGTGCTGCTTTGGGGTAAAATGCTCTGAAAATATCAATTAAATCCTTCTGGTCTTGTATATCATTTAAGTCAACTGTTTCCTTGTTAATTTTCTGTCTGGAAGATCTATCTATTGATGTCCTTGGGATGTTAAAGTACCCTATTGTGACTGCTAGTGTTGATCTCTCAGTTATGTCCATCAAGACTTGCTTTATGTATTTAGATGCTCCTATGCTGGGTGCATAAATGTTTACAAGGGTTATATCCTCTTGTTGGATTGATTTTTTTATCATTATGTGAAGTCCTTCTTTGTTTTTTATTATAACCTATGTTTTAAAGTCTATTTTGTCTGATACAAATATTGCTATAAGAATTGGGACATTTTGAATTTATGCAGGATTCCCCTAAAGTACTTTCTCTTATACCCTACTGTGTCAGGGAATATAGAATCTGTTCTCAGTATGCTTGTAGTAAGTACCAGACCAAGAACTAAACACGCAATTAAAATAGTGTGGCTGGAGCTACTATAGAGGGACACACAGGAAGCTACAGGGACACATAGGTGTGTCTAATTCTCTTGAAGGCAGTGGGTTGGGTTGGGAGCATCTTAAAAAAATACTGAAAATGTTTCTAAGATTCAATATAAAGTACTAATATTGAGTATTTTAAAAAGTATATGGAAGTGACAGTTTTACAAAATGTCACCATTTCTTAAGGTATTTTAGAGGGATGAAAGAGAAGTATCATTAAATGAGACCTTTGCAATTTGAAACCGAAAACCTGAATTGGTTGTACATCAAAACCAAACACATATTAACATTACAGTATATGCACACATACTCCACTTGATTTGATCTTAAAGGCACAACTTCCTATCTCAAATCCTGCCTATTTATAATACCAAATGCTTAATCAAAGAAGCAAAGGAATCTTTTCTATAAAAGTTTTTAGATGTCGCCAGATCTGTCTGGTCATTAATCACACTGCTGGTGTCACATTGACCTTAGCGGCTTCAGTCTTGAATGGCAGGGCACACACAGGTGCAGCCCTTCAAATGGTGAGGATGTGAAAACTACATCTGGCATGGGAAGCTCACACATAGCCCTCCTACTCAGTTCAAGTGGATTTCTTACAGAAAATGCCATTTAAGGTGGTTGGTGCTCACACCATTAAAGTTGTCCTCTCTGCCTTCCTCCACAGTGTCCTTTCAGAGACCTCCCACACCCTCCTCCTCTCACAGCTTAGAACATAAGACCTGAAGGGGCACCCAGAAGCTGGGAAGGAAAAGGCATCATCATAAGCTGTTGCCATGGCGAACTTAATGCCTTTTTTAGTGCATTCACATTGAGTGCTAGTGGGTGAATGTGACCATTCTTCTGGGAAAAGGCGTGATGGCAGGGTCTGGTGCATTAGGTCACTCTGTTTATATCCCCCTTCCACTCTAGTCTTTATGGTTTATTAAAGTTCTTCCCTAGTACCACTTAGGCAATTCTAATAACACATAAGACTGGTCTAATAACTCTGGACCTCAGAAGTCTCAGCTTCCTCTGGCTTCCTCAGAGATTGAACATATTAATGCTGCCTCCAAGAACCAGCCCTTTGCCCAGATCACTGTTATGGGGAAGCATTTGGGGCTATGACTGAGATGTGCTGTGACCTCTCCCTTGTTAGCTGCGTGATGAAACAATTGTATTTTATTTCACGCCATAGGGACTTTTATCCGGCGTCATCGGATTCCTCTCCCACCTCCTGATGATGGTCAGTTTTATACTGTGTATTGTTTCAATATCGACATAGACATTGTCTTTTATGGCCGGACTTTCAAGATTTATGACTGTGATGCATTCACAAAAAACTTTTTGAAGAAAATAGGAATCAAATTAAATCCCCCAGGACAGTGTCCAGAAGATCCTTACACGAAGATGCGGAGAGAGGTAAGAAGTTGATAGAACTGTGAGTCCTTTTCTTCAGAATGAGAATCCCTTCAGGGAGTCAATAGAGGGTATTGGTACTTCTGAGGCAGATGTGAAAGAACTTTTGGGCTGTAGTTGCTGGAGTTGTCCTCTTTCACCTTTGGGCTGGAGGGAATGCTCAATGCTAGGAAGTCTCACTCACTGCCCCTGGCCACACTTTTCTCCATGGAGAGTCTCCTTTCTTGGCAGTAGGAGTCTTCAGTGAGTTGCCAACATGGGATAATTTCTAAGAGCCCACAGTTGGTTTTGTGGTCACTGAAAGCAGACCCACACTTACCTGGCTTGTCTTTTCCCATTTTACTTCCCTAACTCTGGGAAAAATCTTTGCTTCTTTTTTATGGATTTATGGAACCAAGCTTTGGGTACACCTTTTCCCTTTTCTCTTCTTCCTTGGGACTCCCAGCTTCCCTTATGGCGGCATCAGACACAGATGTCTGGGGGAGTGAGAAGGGCCACGATTTTTATGTATCCCCATTATGAAAGGAAAGTCTGACCCCAATTAGTGTAGAGAGGAAAGAATAAGTGTTAGTTGTATCATTGTTTTCTTTCTGAAGTTTTTAAAAAAATGATCCCATAGCCCAAATTATATGTCTTATAAAAGAATCTGAACACCCAAAAGGGCAAGTGTCATGTGGAAGGTCAGATACCTAGCCAGTCTTCTTTCTGGGATTTGAACTGAAATTATTTGCTTCTTACCATGATTTTTATTATTCTCATTTGTTTTCCTTTTTTCTTTTTATACAAAGTAAAATTCACAGAAATTAAGTATACAGTTGGATGAGTCTTAAAAAATACATACACACATATAATCTACACCCAAATAAATATATAGAACATTTCCATCACCCTGCCCTTCCAAGAAAGTACCCCCATGCCTTTTTCTAATCAATTCTCCCCTGCCCCCTGCAAGGCTTGACTACTGTTCTCATTTCTATCCCTATAGATTTGTTTAATCTCATTTTTATTGTTTCTAAAACTTGTAATTCATTTCCTTGCAGAAAGATAATATAAAATTTAGAATGAAATTCTCCTTTGATTCTGCTTTGATCTCTTGTTAAAAGCTGCATGTAAGGTTATTCATTTGTTCCTTCCTGATAACCGAAGCAGAAATTATTCTTTAATGTTATAGATATGCAACCCTCATGAAACATATATATCGTTGATCCTGGGGTATCCAAGGTGAAATCCTTGTGGCATTATACCTGTGTGTATTGGCATGCAAGGGGCTTTATGGTTTGGGTTCATTTTTATTTTTTCTAAATGTTCTAGATGAGAGTCTAGATAAGTACAAAATCTTTAGAATCAGCAGAAAGAACCTAAAGGAAATGAATCCATATGATTTATCACCCTTTACATATGGCTGCATTCATTCACTAACAGTTGGTATTATATGATAGTGAATGTGAATGATGATGCATTATATGAGATGCATAGAGCACTGTGCAGTTTCATGGGTTTATAAAGAAAAAATCTTTTGTGCCAGGAATCGAGAATAAATACCAAGAACATCCAAGAAATGTTTTAAGTCATTTCCTTTCAGATAGGGAGAACCATTTTAGCATTTATTCCCTAAGGGAGAAAGCTCTTCAATAAATACAGAAATCTGTAGAAAATTAGGAGTTTAATAAGAGGCTTTTATGTTGATTTTAATGCTTTTACTTCTCCAGTGCTTGCTGCATTGAAATGTAAAGTTAAAATTAAACAGTTTAACTTAAACGGAAAAGAGCCCCAATAGTATATAATCAATAATACATGTCTTTGAGGCCTTATAATGCTGAAGAAACATTTTTCAATCAATGAAAGTAGAGATCCCATAATTTCATTTAAATATCAAGGATAAGACTGGAGAGCCTCTGAAAGGCCATCGTGTCTCCCTGCTTTCTTAGGGTAAGTCTGCACATAGACTGCCCTGGTCAGGTACAAAATTTTGAAAATTTACACACCAGGATACATAAGTTGATGTGGAACTACATCTCCCTTGCCAATGAGCACTTTCTTATATAACAATTCTGTATGGTTACGTCAGATAGAACGGGGCATTTTTGCTCCAAGACTGGGCTGGGAACATGCAAATGGCGAAGAGTTGCACCAAGAAGACTGCAGAGCTAGTGGTTCCTGGGTTGGGGGACAGAGCCCAGGCAGTGGTTCTGTGCCGACTGGGAAACTTTCCATTTGTTCTGCTTTTGTTTCCATGGCCTTTCAGATCCTCATATCTAAAGCTTTGGAGCAAAATAAAACCATGAATATATTTCTTCCCTTTTATCTTCACAAAAACCTTTGGATGATTAAGGAGGATATACAGATATGAATTTTCATTGAAAAGACAAACAATTTTTAATTGAGATAAAACTAACATAGATGTATAGATCTTAAGCATGCAGATCAACAAGTTTTGGAAAATGTATACCATTTAGCAACATGAAAATCAAGATATAGTATATTTTCATCACCCCAGAAAGTTCCCTTGTTCCCCTTTCCAGTCAACCCCCTACCAAGGGGCAATTGCTGTTCTAATTTCTGTCACTATACACTAGTTTTGTCTTTTCTTAAACAAGAATTTGAAGTCTTTGAGAAAAATCAGTTTTTAAAAACATTACAGAAATATATTTTAGTGTATTAAAGTAATGTTTAATATGGAAGAAAGCTTCCTGATACTTGATTGTATTTTTAAGGTTAAAACTGGTTATATGTACTGGTTAATATTATATAGACACATATAATATATACATATATAATATATATTATATATATAAAACTGGTTATATATTGATGTTGTTAGTTAAAATTTAAAAAATATCATTGAATAGTCTATGGAAAAGATATCCTTATGTTCTTTGATTACTTGTATCCCAGAAGTGCTTACACCCAAACCACAATGATTATGAACCTTTTCTTCATTTTCAGACACTAGACTGCGTGCAACCTTTACATCCCTATGAGTCCTTTGACACCCTGAAACAGTTCCTCGAGTATGACAGAAAGGTTTTGCGTTTCTTCTGCCTATGGGATGACTCAGTCTCATTGTTTGGGGACCGTAGACAACTCATCTTGCATTACTTCTTGTCCGATGATACTATTGAAATCAAAGAATTGCTGCCCCACAACTCAGGCCGGGATCCTATGTCATTTTTCCTCCAGAGGGCAAAGCTACCCAAGGTGAGCAATGGACATTAAACCACTTTCCAAATTTGCTTGTGGGCTGAAAGACTAGTCATTCACTGGAATGTCATGTGTTATGACTACGTGATGACAGTTACCATATATTAGTGCAAGTGTTTAGAAAACTTTCATTTTGTGCCCTATATTAACATAAATCTTGGAAGGTAATGCAGAAGATATGACAAATTGGAGTTGGAATATTCTGAGCATAAGGCAAATAAAGGGAAAATGTCAAATGTACAAGAAATTACCTATTCAATATTGAGTTCACAATCGGTCTTATGAAGGTAAATGACTCTAGTAAAAAAATTGCTTATGGACTTGGATGGGACACTGGTCTCTGGCCTCTGTAGCCTACTGAGGAGATCCCATGGTGTTGGTCTGTGTTGCAAATGTACACACACACACACACACACACTGGAGTGATTCTTCGATCCCATGGTGTTGGTCTGTGTTGCAAATGTACACACACACACACACACACACACACACACACACACACACACACTCTGGAGTGATTCTTCTGAGAGTAACCACCAGTCATCAAATAGCTAATGGCTAGCAGCAGTGACAGCTTTTGCATTTTATTTGCTATTAAAAAGAATTGTCAGACTGATTTCTACACATATTTATGGCTATTTGAGAGCTAACATAACTTGGGTACAGCCAGAAATGACATAAAGATAGGAGACCTGGGTTAGAATTGTGGTTCTGCACTCAATAGCTATGTGACTTTGGGCAAATCAGTTAACCTCTCTGAGTGTATTTCCTTATCTCTAAAATTCAGATAACGAAGTCTCCATCCTGAGGTAACTGTAAAGATAGAATGATGTAACATAGTAAAAAACACTATCGGAGGACCTATAAAAAACACCTATAAGGACAGGAAAACATAAAGGCTTTTTCACAGCTCTAAGTTACATTTTATTTCTTATTTGGACAAAGTAAAGTATTTTTAAATTTAATTCTTAGTGATACTGAAGAGTTTACTGTAACATTCATTTCTGATGCAAACAACTTCTGGTTATGTGGTCTACACAGGAGGCCCTCCCAGATTCTTTGAGCCCATAGGCAGAAGCCCTGCAGTATTGCTGGGAGGGGTGGTGGTGGTGGTAGGCAGGATTTGTTTCAGAGGGAGCTCTGGAGTATGGATAGCAGGTGGCCGGGAGATACCTGGGAAGCCCGTTTTTAGAATGGTTTTGAAAAATAGCCTGAATATAAAATAATAAAGACACATCTGACATTTGCAGTGTGCCTGGACATCAATTGCTTCATTTATTCATTCATTTAACATATATTAATTGTTAACTGTATGTCAGCTCTAGGGTTATAGTGAGAGAGAAAATGGATTAAGCCCTACTTCATGGAGCTCACATTCTCATGGGAGAAAGATATAGTAGTGGTAGGTGTTCCCCGGGCACTCTCAACATCTTTTGAGAAAACAAGGAATAAGTACTGTTGTTGTAGTCACATGAAACTGAAGATAAATACCTGGTCCCAAGTCCTGTAACTAGTAAGTGGCAAAGAGAGAGTTTGTGTCCAAATATACTGTTTTCCTATGTTATGTGGCTTACTTATACCCTATACATAATAAATTCACACATTTGAACTTACATATTATGTCACATGTATCAGAGATGATTCAGATTTCTCATCTGAAATGTATATCAGCATATGATAAACTGATCACTGTGAATTTGTGTTAATTAAGGTATTTCCTGCAGCTCACACGACTGCTTGGACCACTTTCAGTGCATGTGTGCCCTGGCTCACTCTAGGCCACGGTTTCTGTTAGAGGCTGACCACACTGTATTGTTCTTGCCATCTCATCACGCTGCCTCTCTCAGCCAGCAAATGCCTCCTGAGTTCAGGATCAGGCAGGATGCTAAGCAGAGTAAAGAAAAGAAGGCAAGGCATGGTTTGTAGTTGAGTGAAGGGAAAAGATGACTGCTGATGAAGCAACCAGAGAACCACAAAAAGTGGTTTAATTCTGCGGTAGGTGCTATGGAACTTTGAATTAGGGACAGGTCAGTAGGATGAGAGAGGTCATGGGGAAGGATGGGGCTTTATGGATAGGTGGAATATAGTCCAGCCTGCAGGGGGTGAGGGAGCATAGGGACAAGTAGATAAAGAAAATGTCTTCTTACAGATGGCAGAGAAGAACCATATAATGCATATTTCCCACTTGAGCCCCTCAACAGGACCATCTTTGTGTTTAGACACCATGTACCACATCTTGCTTTGGTTTTGTCTTCCAGTATGGCCCACCTGGAGTCTATCAACCAGGAGAGGTAACAGATCGACTAGTTCTCAATGTGTATAGTGGCTATAGAGTGAGCCGAGTGCATGGCTACCTGTTGGATAAATACAAGGTAAGGAACTTACATTTTATTACTGTTTCTAATGTGACGTCCCTGGAACCTAAAGTGTGGAGTGAGTTACATATTCTTCTCTTGTGAGATTGATTGTGAGTGAAATGAATGAATATGTATTACATTGCTGTTTATTAATAATAAACATGCTTAAGTGCATTCGTAAATCTATGCCTTGCATTGCTGTTGGGTAGCACTACATTGTTAAAAGAATTTTTTAAAATGTTAATATCAACTAGTTGTCTTTTGGTTTGTTTGAATTTTAAAGTTTGGTTATAAGTGATATAATTGAGGTTTTTTTAAAATTTCTTTTTTCCTTTGGGAAGGGTTAGATCTTTGGAGGATCACTGGTGCCAACATTGTGTTCCTTTGTTTTTATTAGACGGGAAAATTAGAACAAGAGTTTTACAAAGATACTGACCTGTCCATAGGCACCACCATCAATGTGTGGGGAAGGAAAGTGCTCCTTTGTGACTGTGATGAATTTACGAAGACTTATTATAAGACTAAATATGGAATTGGTAAGTGATACATCTATCAATTAGAAAATAATATTGAAAACTTAGAATCTTTGTCCCCTAGTTAAGATTTTACTTTTGTTTTAAATGCTAAGCTCATAATAGCTACCATTTGTTGAGTATTTGCTACCTCCCAGGCATTTGATATTTTATTTTTTCCTATTCTAGAAGGGTAGGCTCATTATCCCCATTTTAGAGATGAAGAAACTGAGGCTTAAAAAGGGCTAGCTTGTCTAAGGTCATGCGGCAGGTAAAGGATGAGCCAAGATTTGAACTTGACTGCCTGATGCCAGAGGCCTCCATTTTCCCTTATAGCCCTCTGCCTCAGTACAATATGGTAAATGTTTTGGCCAAACAATCAAAATGGAAATCTAAATGCTTTTCTTTTCACTGAATTCTTGCTTACCATAATGGATATAATTATTTGAGTTCTCTGGAGAGTTTTCTTATGCCAATTTGCTCTACCTTTCCTGGGGAGACACAGCCAGGTTTTCAGCTTCTTTCTTCCTAGATTTCAATTTCATTCAGGTTAGTTCAGTTCAAAATGAAAACCAGTGATTTATTAAACACCTACTAGGTGCCGGTCATTTTAGTTGACTATGGAACTATAGAGTTGAGTAAGGAATTTCTAGGCTGGTAGGGAGCAGAGACCTACAGCATGTTACACGGTGTTATGAGAGTCATAGAAACAGGTAGAGGATCTAATGTGAAGCCAGAAAAATAAACTCTTCATTTGTTAAACCTGCCAGCTAGCTCTGCACCCTTCCTGGGCTCTCTACCCTAGGCTCCAGGTACCTGCCGGGTGGTAGGCTAAGTGTAGATGGTGGGAGTTGCCAATCTTCCAGCCTGAGGCCTGGAGCTGAGGTGGGGTATACTTACTTCTCTACTCTTTGAACCTTGGAGTAGTCATGTGAGCACACTTTCCCAAAGAATGAGGTGGAAGCCAGAGTGATCACAACTTCCTGAAAGACAAGGTGCTTCATCACTAGAATAAAATGAGGCCCTCCTATGTGTCTTGCTGTCCCCATTGCGTAGTATCCCTGGCCTCCTGGGAATCTTTACATTGTGAAAGAAGGCACACTGAATGCATCAAGGGGTTGGAATAAAAAAGACTTTCAATTTCACTCTTCAGTTTGTTAAGGGGATTTGTTCCACTGCATCTTCCTGCCAGATTAGTCAAAATGTGTGGGACTTATGGGGCCATATTGGTCGCCTTTTCTTATTTTATTTTCTAACATCAGTCCTCTTTGGAGGACACAGTTGGGCATATTTGTTTCAGGGACAGTGGGCAAGAGGCAGCCAGGAATGTGCAGGCGGTGGCTGCTGTCAAGAAGCTGCTAGTGACCTTTAGATCATTGGAAGGAGAACTTGGTCTTTAATAAATGTAGATGCCTATTTATAATCAAGAGGTCTTCAGTGTAGACTTGAAAATTTGAAAAAGATATATAAAAGATGAGTCACTGAAAACATTTTCTTGTGTCCTACTGACACATTACCTTAATATAAAGGATGTGGTAAAGGTTCTAAAACATCATATGATCCCTTAAACATAAAGCCCAACATTTGATTGATGTTTGTCTGTCAGCTTGATTTCGAGACTATAAAGATCAAATTTGGGAAAATGAATGTAGTGCTGGAGAGACATGGTTCATTGTTTGTCTCTTAATGGGTTTGCAGGGAAATTTGAGAGGCAGAGTGAATTCACTGGTGCACTCCAAATCGAGCTATCCTTGGTTTCAAATGCCCTATGGTCCATTTCATTGAGCCCTAGTGCTTAATTTCTTTTTGCTCACTTCTTTTGTTCACTATATAAACTTACTATATTATGTGAAAAAAGTAGTTTGTGCCTTTAAAGCTAATATAACATGAGCATTATGCATTTAAACAGAAAATTATGCAAATGCAAAGTTATGATGTATTTTATAGTCATGCTGACTTTTTATATTTCTCATAACGTATGTTAAAATATCCCATTTAGCAGACACTATTATTACACAACATTTCTTGAGTAACAACAGTGTACTTAATGTAACTAATAACTGGAAATTATATTCATGATGTGGGATAAGTGAGCATTGAAAAAATACTCTCTTACAATCTTTACATTTGCTTTTTCTGACTTTTTGGTAAGGTTAAATTAATATACTTAATGTTATATAGATAGTTACTTTTGACATTTTAATTTTGTTTATAATTAATCTGGTTCTAAAACTCATAAGAATGACCAAATTCTATATAATATATTTTGGTATCCTTGATGCGCAAACCAGGACAAAGTCCTGTCAATAAGTATAGTTACATTTCCTTCCTTGTCAGTAATTGTGGTCATCAGAATACCTGGTGTCTCCACTCTATAGTGCCACAGAAAGGAGCTGACAAGTGCCACCAACACAGCTAAACACAGAGGAAGCCAGGGGGAGATTTCTAATGCAGTGCACAACTTTGGTGCTTTAGTACTTTCTCTTAACTAATGAGACCACAACATATTTCAGGGAAGAAAAAATGGCAGACAGAGTAAGAGAAGGAGTTGGCCACAGTCCCAAGAAAGGTGCTTGAGTGAGCTTTCTATTTATGTAGAAGCAGAGGGCTTGATAGAAATCTAAGAGATTCTAAGAGATATCTGTACCCCTGAGTAAAACACAATCTGACTCCTAAAAAGATGAGATTTTTGTGTGCATTTAAGTGTTCTAAGGAGAAGGTGATTCCATAGAATTCTTCCACAAAATAGTCTAGTGTAACCCCTCTGCCTCCACTAGGCAGCTTGGCTATCCCACTGGCCCAGGCTTATCTGTGGGCTGTAACATGTCACTCCCTCATTATTTCATGTGGATGAACACAGACTGGTAGATGGAGGCCTGTCTGACTTTCTTGTAGCATGAAGGTTGGAAAAGGCTTCAGGGGCTCCACCAGGTGTTTCTCTCACTGAAGGGACAGGGATTTGAATGTAAACTATTTGTATTTAGAATTCCTTCCTTGGGTTATTATTTTTTTTGTCTATAAGAAGACTTTCTTATTATCAATTCTTAGTGACTGGGACAACCAAACTGGTAACAAGACCACTCATTCCCATTACCCTTCAACACTTAGTAGGCTGTACTGGCATTAAAGATGAGCAAAAAACTTAAAGGACCTTTGATTTTGTGGAGTCATTTCTAACCATCTCTGAACTCTTGGTGCTAGAAGCAGCAGGACATCCAAGATGAGAGTTTAATGGTCATTTGAGCAAATTAGCCATACCAAGGTACGGTGACAGGGGTGGAATTCTCGTCTCATCACATGACCTCAATAGAGTGAACAATTTTACCTTTTTTTCCTCCCCTATGAAGTGAAGAGAATTGAGGATTAGATGATTTCTAAGGATTTTCTAGCTAAAGCTAGAAAATTATATGATTGACTAATCATTTGATTCTAAAATGAACATCCCAACAAAATCATTTGACCTGGGTGTTGGGTACAAGCAGAAGTAGTTTTACCTTGAAGTTAATAAAGTTAATGAATATGAAGCTTTATGGTTCTTCCTTTGCAGGGGCCCCAGTCCAAAGCTCAGGGCCTAATTTTGTCCTAATAACTTGGCATTCTTTGTCTTGAAAAGCTTCTCCAAATTATATAAGCTTCAGGCCTCCCTAAACCTGGGTCCATATCTGGGTTACTAGAGCATACAAAATGAACTTTGAGGTAATTGAAGGCTTTCCCCAGCATTGTTTTCCAACTGAGATGGTGAATAGCAAATCACTGTGAATGAACATTAAGATTCTTTTTAAAAATATGTCACATCTTTGTAAATGTATTGGAATCTAGTTAGTTGTGGATAGACATTCAATATATATGTTTTTACAAGTCACTTGGAGTTAGAGGACTCAGACTATTTGAAAAACAGATGTGTCTCAAGATCCAGCAGAGTGTCAGTTTAAGAAGATATTTAGGAAGATGCTTTGTACAAAAATGTGTACTTTTTCATTTATTCACCAAATATTTTTTAACATCTAAAAAATGCAGGATGCTGGGATGATGGAAAACCAAAGACAGGAAACTTATTGAGGTGCAAGTACAAAGTGTTGTGAATGTAAGCAATTACCGAGAGAAATGATACCTCGAGTCAGAATATCCAAAAAGATTTATGTGGTGTTAGAACAGCCAGGCATGATGGAGTGGAACAGTTCTCAACTTTTATACACTAGATGGCACTGTGGGTGCAGAGGACCACTCTGAATTGGCTCTTTTGTTACTAAAATCTGTTGCAAAAATTATGTAGTTGAGAAAACAACACCGTGTTATGAAATCTGTAATTTTAAGGGGAAGTTAAGAATGCATTCTTAATTACTTTGCAATTCAATATATGTCCTCTTTTGATTAGACTGCTCAGATTAATATGTAGAGTTGTGTATGTCTCCTGTTAGAAGAAAGTGATCATGCCCCAATTTTCTAAATATCACATAGAGCATTCCCTGCCATTCCTATGGTCCTCTCTGTGAAATGAAGGTACTAGTCGGTAGTGTGTTCCATGTAACAGTTAGCAATAATAGGGTCTACTGCAATTCTGCCTGATTCCAAGATCTGAACTTTCCTCTTTATTACCAAAGCTTCTCTTTGCCACAAAGACAGCAATAGGAGAGGCTCATGAGTCACTTCTTTATGGGCAGTCTGGCTGTCCCCTTTTCACTCAGTCGGTGAGAAATATTTGATGTTGTCTTCTGTGAACAGTTTCTGTTAGGATGGAACAGTAACTCTTTGGGGGATTCTGCTTGAGGGGAGTTCACACAAAGGCTGTGAGGAAGCCTAAGGAAATGTGAAATTTGAAAACATTTTCAAATTAGAGTTAGAAATAGCCTCAAACCCTTAACCTTTTAATCAGTCAGTATAAAAAGAAAGTCCTTCAATTTTAAGAGTTAGGTTGCCGTGGATGACAAATTGATGCACATTTTCAATTACAGAGGTGTGCACTAAATCTGAATTCTTCCATCTATTAGAACTTTGACAATGGAAAAAAAAAATCATTGCTTATGTGAATTTCTTTCAGTCCCAAATGGCAGCACCTCTCATGTTTGGGGAAGAAGTAGAAATTAGATTCCATGGGTTATATTGTTTTGTTTTAGGAAAGATCCTGGCATCTTTTTTGCCATTTTTGATGGGACAGACAAGCGATTTGGATTAGGTCAATGCGTTATTTGCTGTAGAGAGCACACTTGCTTCTCAGAGTTGGTACAGTCTCACAAATGACTACCTAAAAGCTTCTAGGCTGTTATAGATAACTCTGTCTCCAACTCTCCTTTTTCACGGATGATAAGTAAATAAAGAAAACCAACATTATTTATTACTTAACACTCTTGTTGAGAGAGTGGGCACTGCTTATTTTAAAAGTTTTATTTGGTTGGTTGGTATTGGTTTAATTTTTAATTTTATTTTTTTGCTTTATCACTTTTTAATACAATTGCAGTCTATTTGTGGGCAGTAACAAGAGCAACCTGGGGAAGTGGTTGGTGACAAAAAATTTTGTTTTTGTTTTTTAATTAGATAGTGAAGGGCCATGGCCTGGAGTTGAGTTGGGGGAAAGGGAGAGGGCTTAAAAAGTGCACACAGGAGGAGGGGACAGTGGATGGGAAAGGTAAAGGGCAGAATAGTCAGGAGCCAGTCCTGTTTGGAAAGGAATTTGATTAGTGAGTGTTGACTAAAGATATGAGAGAGCTAAACTACAGCTTAAAATAAGGAATGGGTGGCATAAATTTCTAAGTTTGAATTTTTATGTCATTGGAAAAATCAGGATGAAATAAATATTCAGAAATGGGATGTGATAACAAAAGATAAATGTTTACTTATTTGACATAGCTTCTTTTTTTCTTTCTTTTGAACCAATGACTATTATTGAGTGAGTTCTGTGGTTTTTGTAAACATGATTGAAACCTACCCTCACAGGATTTTGCTGTGTTTTGTTTGAATGAGTTTAAAATAGTCTACAAAGATCTCCATGTTCATCTTGAAAACATAACAAACCTTTCAAAACAGCCATAATCAGAACAAAAAAAATATTGATGTTTCATTTGCCTTTGTTTTGTTCTAGAGAACTTTCCCTCAATTTCATGCAAGGCTCCATCTCCTCCAAAAATAGAAAGGAAATTTCCACCTTATACCGGCTTTGGTTCTGAAGAGGATTCTCTCCGCTCTTGCATAGGCCTTGTGCCCATACCTCGTCCTAATCTGGAGGACTTCAGGAAGTTCATGGAAAAAGACAGGTGCTTGAGGGAACTATGATTTTGGTTTGATCTTTCCCAGATGTGTTTCAGATTTATAATACAGTCCCCATGATGACACAGATGACACTGAGCTCATCTAATTTCAAGTCCAGGGACATGTTATAGCTTTTTAATGAAGTGGATTAACATATAAGTATTAACAGGTTCTTACTTGAGTGGTTATTATATTTTCTCCCCAGTTTTACTGAGATATAATTGACATATAACAGTGTGAAACATAATGATTTGATATATGTATGTACTGAAAAATGATTACCACAGTAAAATTAGTTAACATTCAACACTTCATATAGTTATAATTTTTTCCCTTGTGATGAAAACTTTTAAGATTTACTCTCAAAACTTTTAAATATACAATATAGTATTGTTAACTATAGTCACCATGTTGTACATTAATTACATCCCCAGAACTTATTTATCTTGTAACTGGAAGTTTGTACCTTTTGATCACCTTCATCTAGTTCTTTCATTCCCCACTCCCTGCCTCTGGCAACCACCAATCTGATATCTATTTCTATAAGTTTGTTTTATTAGATTCCACATATAAGTGAGATCATACAGTATTTGTTTCTCTGTCTGACTTATTCCACTTAGCATAATGTCATCAAGTTCCATCCTTGTATCAAATGGCAGGATTTCCTTCCTTTTTAATGCCTGAATAACATTCCATTGTATATATGTGACATGTATTGAATTTTCTTTATGCATTCATTTGTCAGTGGACACTTAGGTTGTTTCCATGTCTTGGCTATTGTAAACAATGCTGCAGTGGGGTGCAGATGGGGGTGCAGATATTTCTTTGGGATAATGATTTCATTTCCTTCAATTACATACGCAGAAGTGGAATTGCTGGATCATATGATAGTTTTATTTTTAATTTTCTGAGGAACCTCCATAGTGTTTTCCATAGTGGCTTCACCAATGTACATTCCTACCAACAGTGCACAAGGGTTCCCTTTTCCCAAATCCTTGTGATTGAGTGGTTATTTTAATAAATGTCATCTGGAAGCACCTAAAATCATATAGTCAGTGGGATGGCCAAGCAGCCTTTAATATATATATATGCCTTTCGGTATATATATATTTCCTCATGATGGTCCCTGGGAAATGGTGTAGAGTAGGAGTCAGCAAACGTTTTCTTAAAGGGTCAGACAGTAAATATTTTCAGCTTTGCAGGCCATATGGCCTCTGTCACAACCACTTGACTCTGCAGTTGTAGTATGAAAGTAGCCACAGACAGTCTGTAAACAAATGTGTGACTATGTTCCAATAAAACTTTGTTTATGGACACTGACATTTAAATTCCATATAATTTTTACCCTATTACATAATATTATTTTGATTTTTTTTCAACCAGATGAAAATATAAAAACCATTCTTCGCTCACAAGCTATATAAAAACAGGTGGCTGGCTGTATTTGGCTCATAAGCTGTAGCTTGCCTACCCTTGGCATAGAGGCTTCCATGATTTATGTGTTTCTCAGAATGTTATTTGGCAACTAATGTGGTTGTTCTTTTTCAATTACTAGTTTCACGTATACAACATACTAATTACACATTTATATCATTTACCAAGTGACCACCCCAATAAGTCTAGTACTCATCCGACACCATACATAATTATTACAATATTATTGACTTATATTCCCTATCTTGTACTTTACATCCCCCGGACTGTTTTTATAACTGGCAATTTGTACTTCTTAATCCCTTCCTCTTTTCACCCATCCCCGCTCAACCAACCTCCCTCCCATCTGGCAACCATCAAAATGTTCTCTGTATCAATGAGTTTGTTTCTGTTGCAATTAATGTGGTTTTAATTTGAAAGATTTAGCTGAGTTCAGTAACCATAGATTGCTGGCATGACTGAATATAATTTCTAAAGATGGACTTTCAAAAGTATTCCTAATATATATGAGGAAAAGTCTGCCCCTGAGTCATACATATAGAATATGGATGCTGCCCTTAGCTACGTTTTGCTTTTTCAGGGAGAGCAGGCCCTGGAGAAATAAATTGGAGAGAAAGTGGTAGGAAAATGTTGCAGATATTTGAATAGGATGTGGGCTAAACATTGAAGTCCTGCGTCAGGGAAATAAAGGGTCAGGAGAACCTGTGGAGAAAAACGATGAAGGGAAAATGTGAGTTAGACCAGGAGAAGGAGAAGAAAGAGACAGCACCCTAAATTTGATAAAATTTATAAAGTCAGATATTGTTGTAGAACATTTTGAAGTAGAGAGAACAATAGTTTTGCTATAACTAAAAATGATGAAAATATATTATTAAGAGCTATATAGAATGTCTAAAAGGCTGCCTTTGTCATTACATGATGTCCTTTGTCTTTCAAGAAATAATCTTTCATTTTTGAGGATTTCAAAATTTTGTTTTCTAGTATTAGAATCTGTTACTCAAAATATGGCACCCATACTTGTTAGAAATGCTAATCCTTGTGCCACACCCCAAACTTACTAGGCAGAAACCCTGGGGGTGGGGCTGGTATTGTGTTTAACCAGCTCTCCAGGAGTTCTGATGGGTACCAGGGTTTGAGAATTATTGATTTTGATCATATGAGAGGGACACCATCATTCTCCCTTATAGATAGCAGTGTTTACAGTGAGGTTGCAGGGCAGGGTTTTTGATGGATACTTTTCACTAACTTCTGTTTTTAAGGGCAGCTACCCGAAGGAGACAGGCAGAAAGAATGTCCTTTTTATAAAAGGAGAGGGAATTTTTCTTATAAGTAAACAAGGTGAAACATGATCCAGGGTGTTTCTTCTGGAATCAGGGAAAAACAGTTTCTGTGCGTAGTTGCCTTAGTCTCTCCTTCTGTCTTATACTGTGTCAACTTGCCCACAGAGCACTGACTATAGACAGTATTCCATGTTCTTCTCATGTTTTCTTGGCTAGAGTATGGTGTGGTACAAGTGAAAATGTCTCTACTATTGTTTCTTTCCATTACCCATTCTGTGCCAGGAATACACTGCCCTCAAGCTCCTTCTACACAGCAACCTTGTTTCCATAGTAACCGACACATTCAGCTGGAGACGTATACATGAGTTTGAATAACCTAAGGTTTAAAACTGTGAGAACCTAAGGAAGATGATCTCACAAAGCACACAAAGACTGGTTTCTTAATGCAAATAAATAAACTGTGAATTGAGATATACAATTGTATAAAACACATATTGATTATATATGTTGCTAGTAAATATTTACTGGGTATTAATTATTTTATGAGGGTAATGGTGATCTAGTATGAGTCATTGGAGGAAATAGCTTTGAATTAAAGCATATGACGTTTTTGAGGGAATGAAGACCTTTGTTGTCTGGGTAAAAATTCACTGTGGTGGCCTCTGGGCAGATTATCTAGTCTGATTTAGGATAACCAGAATAATGTGTTTCTTGCCACACCAGACTGAATTAGTTACTTTCTTTCCTGTATGTCCACAATGCCCTGCTGATCATATCTCTAATAATAATAGTGTTGCTACTAATAAAAAACAATTTGTAGTTATGATGTACTAACTACCTTAACAATACTTGGTCTTATTTAATTCTCAAAACAGCCTCATAAAGTAGATAATATTATTGTATCCATTCTTCACATGAGGAAACTGAGGCCCAGAGAGGCAATACAGTTTGCCCAAGCTCACACAACTAATTTTTAGTTGAAATAGGTTTTGAATCTAGAAGTGTGACTTCTGGAGTTCACCTGTTTTGTTTGTTTGTTTGTTTTTAGTTGTTGGGTTTTTGTTTTGTGTTTTGCCACAGAATCTGCACTTATTGCAGTGTGGCAATTACTTGATTATGTAATTGTGATCTCCCCTTAGATCAGGAGCTCCTTGAGGATAGGGACGGGCTTTACTGCTTCCCTCAGAGTTAGAACAGTGCTGACTACATACTAAGGGCTTAATTAGTATTTGTCCAGTAAGAGAAGGAATGGATGTATAGGTGATTAAATAGGATAAACATTCGCCCTTCCAGTTCTTAATGATGGATAGGAGAGACAGATGGACTTCCCATCAGGAAGATTATTATCCCAAACTTGTGCTTTTCATAATCAGATAGCATAAGTGAGGGTTACCAAATCTGTTTGTTACTTATATATCCAGTTATATACTAGAGAAGATGGTTAACAAGATATAGATGTCCCCCCAACCCCCACCCATACTGTATGAGGTCTATCTGGAGCCTGGGAAACTGGGAACTAAGAAAACAGCTATGGAAATCTGACTGTTTTGCCCAGGCTGCCCTGGGGCTAACCTTCCAAATAGCTACTTTCCATCTCACATGAGGCCTTAAACTGGGGATCTTGGTGCCATGCTTTTGCAGTCCTGCTTCTTTGGGCAATCTGAGAAAGTGGCAGAGAAAAGCACTTTCTGCTTCTGCAAAATAGAAATTTATTTATTTATTTATTTTTGCTTTTCTATTTTTGTTTTGTTTTAATCACTGTGACCACAAGGAAAGAATGAATTTCAGCATAGGAAAATTTGAAACTTCTCTGCTTAGAGTTGTGACAGGGAAGTGATGAAGTACATGGTTTATTTTACTCTATGCCTCCTTGGGGTAATGATTTTGGTTATCAAAGACTTCCCCAAGGGTTTAGGATTTGTTACCTATTCCAAATTTCACAAGTTGTTACGTATTCCACATTTCACTAGCTGATATCCATAGACATGCTTCTGCTGACAGACCATAAATTAATTTCTTCAATAATGAGGCAATTAGTTTTGGGAACTTTGATTCTAGACTTTGATCCCATCTTCAATCTACTAGATTATTCTATTCAGGCATAGAATTCTTAGTGCAAATTCCAATCTATAAGGATCTTACAGCAACTTTCTACAAATATTTACTGAGTACTTACAGTGTAAAAAGCGTTATATTAGACAACGGTTAATAAGATGCAGTAAGAAAACATTTGTAATGACTACTTACAATATGGGTGACAAGTGAAATAATATTTAATATAGCATTTGAAAGGGAAAAGTTAATTTTTCCCTTAGAGGCATTTGGGGGGGATGCTGGGGAACTGAGGGAATAACTCAGGGAGGAGAGGATGTGGGGCTAGAAGAAAGAAAAGAAATGGGCATGAGAAAGTGGGAGGTGAAATGGGGAAGTGGCTCCAGGACCCCGTGGAGCACACCTGCTGGCATGCTCATGCTCGGGCAGTGAGAGCTAGGTACTGTTCTTCTTACTGACATGATTGTTGTAATTGCTGACTAAACTCGTGAGTAAGGAACAGCTGTTTAATGCAGCTGATTTGAGTAGTGTGTTTATGGCATTTGTTTTGGGTAAATTTTCCCAATGTGTTACCCTGGATATCTAAAGAATAAGTGATATTTTAATAAATTGAGAAATTCCTCTGCATATAGATTTAGAACCTTAGTAAGAAGATGGTTGAACTTTGTCACCTTCAGAGAGTTTACCCTACTCTCTTAAAATCATAGGGTGAAGGGGTTAAAAGGTACGAAGTCCCAGTTACAAAATAAATAAGTTCTGAGGATCTAATATACAGCATGCTGACTATAGTTAATAATACTGTATTATATATTAGAAAGTTGCTAAGCAAGTAGATCTTAAAAGTTCTCATAACAAGAAAAAAAATTGTAACCATGCATGGTCATAGATGTTAGTTAGACTTAATGTGGTGATCATTGTGCAATATATACTAATATCAAATCATTATGTTGTACACCTGAAATGAAAATGTTATATGTCAATTATAATTCAATGAAAAAATCCATAACACACCTTTTGTAGGTTTTATTTTATATGCACAATGTGTGGAAGATTACTTGTATAATGCTATAACCCTCATTTCTCTTCCATTTAGCTATGGCAACATAAGCAATACACTCCGCTTCTTTGCAAAACTGATTACAGACAAATGTGCCGACCAGGACAGGCTGTTTATTATTTCATATTTTCTCAGCAATAACACAATTTCAGTGTTTGAACCCATAGAGAGGAACTCAGGTAAGAGACATACCTCTCATAGCAATTTCCTCAGAACAATTAACTGTCTCTTCACTTTGAAAATTAGGCACTATGATCTGGTTTTATACACTAGATGTTCTAAGATAGTAACTTGCATTTTTTTGAACCACTAACATTTATTTTACAAATATCTCTAAAAGGGAACTCAGACATATAACATGATAAAAGAGAAACAGCTTTGGTTGGCTTGGGACTGGAGGACTTGGGATGCCTCCTTTTGGACACTATCCTTGCTTCCTCTGCGGCTTCTGAGACACCTCTGTGGAGTCCAGGGGCTTCAAAATCATGGATTGGCTACCACCTATTCCATTGACAGCCAGCAAGACAAGAGATGATCTGTATTCTTGATAGTACCCCTTACAAGATTTTTGCTTAACTATAAGACAAGAATCCCAGATTAACAAATATAGTATAATCTTCAGAGTCCATCTTCTTCTGCCTTTTCTGTCTGTTGAGGCTGTTGCCAAGGTTCTAGCACCCAGGCCCATGGAATGCCTCTACACACTGTGCTGATGCTGTGGCCATTATTGAGGAGAGCCATTGATTTTGACTGACCAAATTATGGAGCTGCATGGCTTTGTTCTTTGTCCCAACATGTTTAAAACTTTTATCTATTCTGAAGACACATGTTTGAGTAGAATAATCAGTGGTATACTGGTTAACAGGCACTCTGAAAAAATGGTAAAGGATATAATTTGTACCATTTGCCAATTTCCATGGTGTAAATACCCCAACTGTGACCAATTTCAGTTTCAAGCAATCACCAGTTTAACAACTGGCTTGCAGAAATCTCCGGAAGTTGAACAGACAGCCCTTATGAGCTTGTATAAGCTACTCAGCACAGCAATGAATAATGAATAATTTGTATAATTAAGTCAGGCTCCATAGTGATTTGAATAATGGATCAAATCTTAAAATATGAAATCAAATAAGGATGAATATAAATCATGCCCTTAAAGGTCAAAAAATAAATTCTATACATCTAGAATGGGGAAGATATGGCCAAGCCAATTGCAGCATACGTAAAACAGAAGGGCACTGATAGTCAACTACAAACTCACTAGTAATAATAGCAGCCATGATTGAGTACCCACTGTTATCCTTACAAGAACTTTATGAGGTTAAGTTTTGTCCACTAAGGGGCAAACCCCAAGATGGGATTAAATGTGCAAGAGATTTATTAGGGGAAATGGTGAGAGAAAATGTGGAAGGAGCCAGAAGAGGCTGGGTGAGCTATCAGACTACAGTGCATGTCTGACTCTTGAAAAGGACAGAGAGAAGGAGGAAATGGAGTGGTCTTAGACTGCAGTGAAATTCTAAGAAAGTTTCATTCAGTAAGGCTGACTGGGAGCCCTATAGCCAGAGTCACTAGTTGGGGGCTCCCCTGTCTTGCAGAAATGGGCCTTTATTGTATCTCTGCCTTGCTTAGTCATTTGTTGACAGCAGCCTGTTGGAAGCAAGAACTCAGCACAAACCTTGGGATAGAGTTCAGAACATAGCAACTGAGGCCTTCCAACAATATGTTCCCCACAGTAAGCGATTTGAGAAGTACATTTTCATGCCCCTAGGAATTTTATTCCCATTTTATGAATGAGAATTCAGAAAGGTTCAGAGAGATTAAATAATTCCTAAAGCTCATCAAGCAAGTGACAAAGCCAGGATGGACTCCAGCTCTATTTGGCTCCAAAGCTTAGTCTTTCCACCACCTATGGTTTCTGAATATGGTAGGAGGAATGTGATAAAGCTGACCCCAAAAGCTCATCTGGTCTCAGGTTTCATTCATAGGTCAAACATTTCAGTTCACTATCAGTTAGAAGATACTAGAGTTTCATGTTCAACTCTGCTCATTGCTATTCAAGAAGTAAAAAATCAAGTAATGCCTAGAAGAGAGCAGATGAAATGAGGAGAATTCTGGAAAGTAAGAAATATGAAACATTGCTAAAAGAAGCACAGATATTTTGCCTACAGGAAAAAAAAAGAGTTAATCTGTATGTCAGAATATGTATAAGACATCATCTGGGACAAATAGGCGGAAATAAGCTCAAGTGAGGAATTTTCTACCTGATATTATTCAAACATGCACTAAAGAGGAGCATCTTTCTGATATCCCAATTCTCAGTATGCTGCTGGCATTTAGCAGGAACTTGCTAAATGTTTATCGCAATGTTTATATTGGGAAGGGAGTAGAGAGAAGAAAGAAAAGGCTGAAATGCTATACCATTTTTTTCTTTACACACTTACCTAGGGATCCTCATTTCTTCACCTACTTTCTCATTCTTCCTTTCATTCTGAGAAAAATAGGCACTATGAGTTCACAGCTAAGTTGTGTGGCCTGTGTTTGAGCATGAAGTAACTCTAAAGGCAATGTGTATGGTTCTTTTAAGTACAATGGTACCTCAGTTTTTGAATGTGATCCGTTCCGGAAGACCGTTCAAGTTCTGAAATGTTCAAAACCCAGGGGATCAACAGCCGACAGCTGGGCCTCAGGATCTTACATTCAGAGGAAGCCGTGTGGCATGTTCGACTTCCCAGGCGTGTTCAAAAACCAAAGCATTTACTTCCATGTTTACGGCATTCATAACCCGAAATGTTCATCAATGAAGACGTTCGAAAACCAAGGTACCACTGTATAAAGCCTACTCACTAACTTTTCTTTTTTCTGCAGGGAATGCTGGTGGATTGTTCTTGAAAAGAATGCGTGTTAAGAGGCCTGGACAAGAAGTCTTTAAAAGTGAACTGTCAGAATATATCCAGCCTGAGGAGCTGTATATTGGAGCAAAAGTGAACGTGAATGGCTACCTATTTATTTTGCTCAATGCTGATGAGTACACCTTAAAATTCATGGAGGAGAATTCAGATAGGGTGAATTTACTTTGTATAATTCTTGACTTGTCTGTCAGCACTCTGCAATCTGTGTTTTTCTTTCTTTAGGCCTTTTCTTCTCCATCTTGCCACCCGTTTTACATTGTGCATTCACACATGTGGCCATGAATAATGGATCAGCATGACTTGGCCACAGGTCCTGTCATAGAGGCCAGGTCCCGGTCTACTGTGTTTACATGCTGGGTCCTTGGCTGCCCAGCATCACAGATGCCAGGCACAGGCAGGAGGCAGGCCGAGGGTTGAATCAAGTTTCCTGAGTTTTCTGCTGACGCCAACAATGTTTTCAGAAAGAAATCCAGCAACTATAAGAGAGGAAGAAAATCTGGTGCCACACACTGTGCTGTCCCAGTTAATTGGCACAGGCCTACAGGGAAGGCCAAGACCTGAACAAACAGAATCCCCTAGGGAATCTAATAGTTGCTGGGGTTGCAACTTCCCATAACAGGAGCCACCTGAGGCCTAAATAAGAATTCAAGGACAAATTGGCAACAGTGAGCTCAAAGAGTTTTTTCATTTGAGATAAGATGGCAGATGGATACTGTTATTAAAAGTACTATTAGGCAGTGCTCTTCAGTAAAAATAACATGTTGCTAAAATCTTGATTTTAAGTTTGGACTAGTTTGGTATGCAAAATAAACATGTATATTTAAGAATCATTTACTAATATTAAAAAATCTATCCAGAAACAATTTATTTGAAAAGTCTGCCTGTAAGAAATAATATTTATGTGCCAATTTTGTTTCATTTATATATAAACTGCTCAGGGGCAAGTTACTAAGGTCAGTTTCTCTGTGTATAGCACAACATCCGTGACAGTTTGGGTCCTCTGAGAAGCAGACGCCAAAACACAATCAGATGTGTAAGAGATGTACTAAAAGAAATATGCATGAAGGATAAAGGTGAAGGAAACAAGAGTAGGTAGGGAGAACCTTCAGAGATCTGAATCCTGAGAAAGAAGAGTGAAGGAAGGAGTACGGGTTAGGAAGAGCCTCAACACAGCAGAGCTCTGAGAAAGTCTTGGCTAGGCCAATGGGGATCCCAGAGCAAAGACTGCCCATCAGAGAAGTCCCGTGTCATGCAAGATGGCTCAGCTCTGGTGCCCCCACCCTGCTCACTCATTGGTGGGAACAGCCTGGGAAGAGTTTGGCCTCAGTAGGAACACTGCACCAATCTTGAAGGTACAGCAGTTGAGGGCTATGACCTAACAATGCTCTTCTCTGTACAGCCTCTCTGACGGTAGGCCTAGGCAGCATGCTCCAGGGCTCTCACACCATCTTTCCATTTGCAGTGTTAGGAATTCGTGTTATTGTTAAACTGTGAACCAGTATCTCTTCAAAAGCACTGAATTTATGTTAGAGGCTCAGTAATAGGGCAGTTAGATTTTTGGAGACCAACAGGCTTGTCTGAGAAACCTGCCTCCACACTTAATAGTTGAGGGGCCTTAGACATGTAATTTTCCTGAGATTCACTTTCCTCATCTTTGAAATGGGAGTAGCAACAGTGTCTCTTTTATAGATGTCCTGTGAAGATCAGATGCGATAATGTGTGTAAAGTGCTTAACTCTATGTGGCCCATAGCAAGCTCAGTCAATGTGTGATTTACAATAGCTATTGTAAATTAGGGATCAATATTCAAAACAGTGCAAGTCTATACCTTTATATAAAATACAGTTGATCCTTGAACAACATGGGGGTTAGGGGTGCTGAACCCCCACCCACAGTCAAAAATATGCGTATTACTTTTTTTTTTATTTCAGAGAGAAAAAGGGAGAGGGAGAGAGAGAGAGAAACATCAGTGATAAGAGAGAATCATCGATCAGCTGCCTCCTGCATGCCTCCTACTGGGGATCGAGCCTGCAACCCCGGCATGTGCCCTGACTGGGAATCAAACTGTGACCTCCAGTTTCATGGGTCGATGCTCAACCACTGAGCCACACTGACCAGTCTGCATATATCTTTCGACTCCCCCCAAACTTAACGACTAATAGCCTAATAGTGACCAGAAGCTTTACCAATCGATAACATAAACAGTCGATAAACATATTTTGTATGTAATATGTTCTTATATTAAAGAAAGCTAGAGAAAAGAAATGGTATTAAGAAAATCATAAGGAAGAGAAAGTACATTTACAGTATTTATTTTTTTAAAAACCCATGTAGAAGTGGACCTGTGCACTTCAAACCCATGTTGCTCAAGGGTCAACTGTATATATAGCATGAATATATATACATATATGTATATTTAAAATTTTTTAAAATTACAGTTGACAAACAATTATGAGTATATAAGAAATAGTGAATATATATATTTAAAGATATAAATGGCTTTTCTCCTTTCAAAAAGATAAAAGCAGGGTAAGACATTACCTGGTAGCGACATCCTAAGTGAAAACTTCATTTTAAAACTGCTGTTAACAAGGACATTCTAAACAGAGAAAGATTAATATACTCTTTAATATCAGTCTGAGGAGTCTTTTCAAAAGAGCTAATAGATCCTATCATGGAAATACATTAAAGAAAATGTAAAGCAAGGAGGGAATGGGGGACTGCAATAGGTGCCAAACCCTCTTGTGGAAGAGAGGGAGCTTTATACTAAATTATCATCCATGTTATTTTCATATTTAGTCTTCTAATTTTTTAGTTCTTAGTTGTAATTATTTACAACCTAATGCTTTACTGGATTGAATAAGGAGTATTCTTACAGAGTCAAAAACTGCATCACAGAGTAGGAGACAGAAACTGGGGGATACCTAGAGAATGAATGAAAGGGGATTTCAGTGTGTGTGGACCTTTAACACCCAGCCTTGCTCTGCTAAGTGCATCATGTGGTGGCCAGCAGTTCTGGGGTCCCACTCTAAAGATCTGGAGAAAATGGGGGTCCACTTATCCAATTTTGAATCCCTGTTCTCTCCATTAGGGTTTCCCAACATACTAGGCCAATGTCTAAGGGCTAAAGGGAGGAGGCTGAGGTAGAAGTGGTTATTGTTTTCTGATTCCTGTGGCCTGCCATACCTTAGCTCATTTCTCTCAGATCTGGGTTTATGTTAATGTCACTCCTAGTCCTAAAGCCTTAACTGAAGGGATACAAACCTAGTTATGTCTTCTCTGTGTTGATCTCTATGGAAAGACATGCCCAGCTAACTTCAGGTTCACAGTGTGAAGTCTTTTTTCTGATCATCAGAAAGATTGGGCTGCCTATGTCTCGAGCATATTTAAATTATCTCTCCTTTCTTTTCTCCTTTCCAGTTTCCTTTTAGCAACCTTGAACTTGCCCTACAAAAGTTGAGAGATGAAAAATCAAAATCCAGAGAGATCAAGCAGGTATTTAGGGCTGCTGACTGTAAGCTCACGAAGATGGTAGATTATAATACATTCAGGTAAGCCATATTCTGCTAGCAATAATCTGTTTTTCCTTCAAGATTGTTTAAAGAGCAGAAAGAACAAGTTCTCTACATACTTTTTATTAGAAATTGACAATTCTTTGCATTTACATTACTTTGTAGTCAAGTTTTGCTCATTTCTAGTAAATTCTTATGTATTTGCCTATTAAAGTTTATAGGTGAGAACAGAGAGACAAAAGCATTGAAAGTTAGTTGGTCGCATTGTCTTGTGAATCATGGTGTTGAAGGATCAGAGGAATGCCAGGAAGGGTACATCTGAGTGAGAAAGGCAAAAAAAAAAAAAAAAGTTAAATGCACATCTCTAAAATCTGGGCAATGAAGAAGGAGGGACATCTCCCTAGGAATGTGATTCAGTTGGAAAGGATAGTGGAAACTACTGATTATCAGAGAAAAAGTTATATGTATGTCTATTACTGTGTGTATGTATGCTCACACACATCTGTGTAATTGGACAGACAAAGAATATAGAAATGGAGGGAAAATATATGACAGTAGTTATAGAAATATTATAAGAAATCATGAACAGTAAAGATTTCTCTAAGGTAAAGCTGAATTCTGAAGGGACTGTTCAGTGGCTGACCTGGGCAAATTTCCAAACAGTGGAAACACAGGGAAATTCAAATTCAGGGTCTAGTACAATTGTGAGACTTCTCTTAGCCTGAAAACAAAGTGAATGGAGTGTTCAGGAGAATGTAAATTAAATCATGGATCGAGGACAAAGGGGACTTTCTCTTTAGGCTGAGAATTCTGGCTCCTGAAAACAATTGTGGCTGAAAGCTATATAGGAAACTGGGCTTGATGCAGTCAAGATGTGGACTGAGAACTGAGGAAGTGAGCCCAGGAGCGGGTGGCAGGGAGGTCTTTCCAACTTTGTCCCTGAAGTCAGTCATCTTTTGCATGAATACCTGGTGACCTGAGCCCACCATGAGGTCCAAAGTGTCCCAAAAGCTCATTTGTTGTTTTAACAAAGCTCTTTTGTTTTTCTAAAATGTTCTTTTGAGAGAAGCAGTCAGAGGACATATTTTTATTGTTTAGAATTCCCAACCTTCTGGGATCAATAAGAATTTATAGTTCTTTGTTATTGTTCATAGTAGTACACATGTTCATGGCCTTTTGCAAAATAAACGGAGACAATAAAGAACAAAGACAATTGCTCAGGCCATTGACTAATGGCAAGCAGTGAAGGAGAAAAATTTCCATCAGAAATGAGGGAGTGCTTTAGTTTTATTATTTTGTGTCCTTTTACGAAAGCATCCATTCTCCCAACACTCTAACAAAGTCTAGTGGAAATACTTTAGTGAGTTTATGGGGCTTTGGGGGAAGCACTTAGGCCAGGCAGGAGATCCAAGGAGGAGAAGTTGCTTCACAGATGGAGGCCTGACCCTAATTGAGGGTGGAATAAAGGACCATCACACTGGTTGGAGGATGGCCTCAAGGCATGCGTGCTCAAAAAGAACCAGCTCATGATCTTTAGGCCCTCTCTTGGCCAGAAATCCCTTAAGAGGAAAATCAGATCAGGTTGTGCCTGGCTTGAAAAACCCTTCAGTGGCTTGCCATTGTCCCTACAAGATCCAAACGTTTTATTGCAGCTGTCAGGGCCTTGAGTGATGTGACTCTCTGTTTACATTTCTAGTGTCATCACTTCTTTTTCTCCAGCCCTATCCTCTGGCCTTGCTGGCTGTCACTCAGTTTCTCAAACACATCAAGCTCTTTCCTGGTTCTAAGCCTGTGCACACATAGTTCCCTCTGCTTGGAATGTCCACATCACCATCCTTTTCGTGACAAACTCTAGGACTCAGCTTAAATGTCACTTCCTCAGATAGACTTACTTTCTGACTATCCTACCTAAAGCAGATCACTCACTTATTATTAGCCTCTTGTTTATATTTTTCTTATGACAACTTGCAGTTACTTTACTTAGATACCTATACTTGGCATGTGTGTGCTTTTGTGCATCTTACCCTATTAGAATATGAACTTTCTGAGGGGCAGGGACCCTTATGGCCCTGTTCACTGCCCTGTTCCCAGCATCTAGCACTGGGTTCAGTACATATCATAGGTCCTGAATGCAATAACAAATTGCTAGAATTATCCTTAGGGGTTTAGTTTGGAGGTGGTGGAATTGTTTCCAGATGAGAGTAGACCAGGATGTCTCCGTCTGACATGCTCGGTGTTGGGCACTGTGCCTTATTGGTTGGCCCACAACTATGGGTCCCTAGTTCATGGTTTTCAGCCTTCCTTTTGGTTCCTCATGCTCTTTTCTGGGCAAAGGCAAAGGATCTACATAGCCAGTCACTATCACACCACACCCTATAATTGTGTGCTAGGCACTTTTACTAGCTTATTTATTTATTTATTTATGAATATTCTGGGTCTTCTCACCATATAATGTAATATCTTTGAGGACAGGGACCATCTCTTGTTTTCTGCTTTAGCTTTGTCACTTTTCACAGTGCCTGGCTGATAGTATGGTGTTAATAAATATTTATTAAGTGGCTACATTTTATCCAGCCCTCATTGATCTCACTGTCAGCTGGAGGCCGAGTTCTCCATTTTAGTTCCTCAAGCTTGGATCTTTCTCCTGAACTATAGACCTGGAAATACAAATGCCTCCAGGACATCTCTCCCTTGGATGTCTCTTAGGCATCCAAACATAACTTTTCCTGAATTGACTTCATTTTTTTCTCCCATAAAGTTGCAGCTGGGGACCCTATCTTGGTAGAGGCTACCATACTTATCCCAAGGACCTGGGTGAGGGTTTGCCTTGTCTCTGCCCTGTTTCCTATCTTGACCTCTCCCAACCTCTTGAAATTGTACTTTTTAAACTACTTCTCTACATCCCCTGCTTCGCTGTGTCAGTTCAGCTTTTCATCACTGTTCATTTGGAATTTTCTTGAGAGCTTTGTAACTGATTTTCTTTTCTTAACTCTCATATTCCAAAGTTTTGCCAGAGTGACCTTCCTAAAAACCTGATCATGTCATTCCTCTCCTCTAAACCCTGCATCAGCTCCTCATTGTCTTCAAGGCAAATCTCACCCTTTCAGTGTTTCATGTGAGTTTGGTCATAATCTGACCCTTGCCTATACCTCTCTCCTTATTTCCATTTCACTAGAAGAATGCTTCTGTAGAATTCACATTCATTGAATGCTTATGTTAGGCCAAACATCATGCTAAGTGCTTTTTATCTACTGTCCATTGGTAGCCCCTGCTGAGTTATTAGTTTACGTCTTTGCCTCCACAATTGGCTCCTGCCAAGTACAATAGATGTTTGTTGAATAATTCAATGAATGATCCTATTTCTCAAGGAGCATTCAGTCTACAGTTTGCAGCAAACAAGTAAATAATTGATTACCTTGCACTGAGGAAGGACAATCTGTCTCTGACTGTAAGGAAGTCAGGGAGAGCTAAGCCTCAGCCTCACAGCCAAGTGACTTGGGCAACTCACTTTACCTACCTGCACCTCACTCTTTTGTCTTTATAATAATGATTTCTGAGACCCCTTCCGGGCATTGACATTCTGAAACTCTTAAAATGTAGCTTTATAAATACACTTGTAAAATGTTCCCTTTACAAATCCATGCATTAAAATAGTAGAGCAGGCAGGCAGAGGCAGGACTGTGGTGTAGGCCTCTGGGCTCCGCCTCTGTGGCCCTGACTCTCCCCTGCTTACATACCTGGCACCCTCAGTATACACCTGGGGACTCAGAGCCTGGACCTGCTGCTCTGGGCAGAGGTTCAAGCCCAGGGCATTTTTCTTCTTCTCAGAGATTTGCACCTCTTCTTGGGGAGCTAATAAACTACCTCTGCCTAAGGTGCCAGGGTTAATAATGGACTATTGGATTGATGAGTGGACCTTCCTGAGATATTTGCCTCAAAATGGACTTGAGGGAATACAGGGACTAGGGAAAAAGAGGCAGTTTAGGGAGCAAGTGTTTCTCTTCTGCCTTGTGGGGGTCACTAGTTCTGCCTCTAGGCTGTATCTATTTTTCTGGGACCATTTTTTTTCATGGTCTGTCAGATTGGCCTATATGAGAGCTCATGATTATTATCCAAGAGTGTAGAGAGTCTCAGAGCTTTGGATAGCTGATGGGCAGATTTCAGCAGGGAGCCAGGCAGGGACAAGGCTTTGGCAGGGCTAAGCAATTGGGAACATGGGCAGGGCAAGGTTTCCCATTGTGGGCCCTAGATTTTGAACCACAGGCAGTAGCAGCAGCAGGGAAGGCCCCATGCCTGTCCCTCCTTCTGGCCACTCCCTAAGCCTTGATCTACTCATCAGAGATGACACCCACCCCATGTAGCCTGTATGTATTTTGGTTTTCTGTACACTCACCTCTTCTCCCCGCCTGAGTGGAGCTCACAGAGAGCAGGGTCCATGCCCAGTTCACCCTCGCCTTGTGTCTTTCCCAGATACCTTCAGTGTCGTGTCTCAGGCCTCAGTGATTGTAGTGAATTATTACACAGCTCTTCCTCAGAACCCTATTATCAATGGCAGGGTCAGGAGTTTTCCTATGAACATTCATGTAATAAATTCCTAAGATTTAGAGCCTCGAGAAAAATTTCTCTCTTGTAAAACTAAAATTTATCCTGTGGGAGGTAGCATAACATAAATAGATCTGATTTTGGACTTGAAGACCTGAATCCAAATCTCAGCTCTGTCATTTGTCAACTTGGTGGCCTTGATTAAGTTGCTCAACAATGTTTTTACCTGCAAAATGCAGATAATAATACCTACCACATACAGCTGTTGTGATGAATAAATTTGATAATGTATGCAAAGTTCTTATTTTAGTGCACTACAGTGCATAGTGGACACTAGACAAGTAAGCCCCTTTATCAATAGTTGCAACTTGGTGCGAAGGAAAATAGTAATAGGAATCTATGTTCTGTTTTTGGTATTTCAGTTAGTTATGTATTTACCCATGATGAGGTCATTGAAAACATTCTTTAATAAGTGAGGTTGGAAGAAACTCTTTAAA